GATGCAGTGTCTTTGCAGGATGAGCGCAGTTGTGTATTTTGGAATAAATAACTTGAAGATCACGACTTCCTCCAACAGTTTACCTTTAATTAAAGCAGAAAACAGAGTCACCTAATGTACCATGCAGCCAATTTGTCTCTGCTTCAAAGCTTGAACACTTGATTTATTGTGTTTTTACTGTCTGTCCCTTCGTGCATTACAAAATCTGATTTACACCATTTAAAAAAGACAAAATACCAAAATACGGTCCAGTGAGCTCAGAAAGTCACGTTTGTTCGCTGGCTTTTGCACCTTTGCAGACAGTGCAGAAGAAACAATACAAGCCTTATAATCATCAGATAAAAACACCATTTGATGTATAAAAACTAACACCAATAGATGGTAGGAAGGTAAAGACGTAGACCCACCTCTCCATGTGACATGTCGTGTCTTGATCTTTAGGCTCATCAGAAAGCAGAGGTCAAATTGTTTTTACCATCTTCTTCAGAAAATATCTTCTTCCTCCTCATCATTTGTTCGTCAGGGAAGTGTGTGTTCCTGCGAATTAAGTGTACATGTTGTAACTCGTTCTATTTTGCATAAACAATGTGTATTATTGTACCCACTGACCATCTTCTTTCTTTCTAAATGCATCTGTTGGTATAAAAATGACACATCCAGCCGCTGTTGTACAGCAGCAGACAGACTGTAGGGAAGTTATAGCGAAGTAACCTGAGTCAGAGTGTTGTGCTGCTGCTGCTGCTGCTGCTGGAGTGTTGTTTGTTCACACTTCACACTCTCCTCCGATGTGACACAGTGAGAGTTTTCCGACAGATCAAACTGCCTTCTTGCAGATTCATAATACGAGAGAGATTAACATAATAATGACTGACTCATATGTTCCAGCTTTTGTGAGAAGAAAACACGCAGAGATCAGTAAAAGATCAGTTTTTTAAGACTAAATGTCTCAGAGTTTGAGTCAAGTAATTTAAATTGAATGTCTCATTGTGAGAAGGTTCTGGGTTTGGGCTTTCTGGTCGGCCGGGATCAGTCTAAGTGGAGTTTGCAGGTTCGTCCTCCTTCCTGTCTTGGTTTTGCCCGGGTGGTCTGGCGTCCTGTCACAGTTCAGACACATGCATTGTAGGTTAATGAATGGATGGACGGACGGATGGATGGACGAACAGATGGATGGAGGGACGAATGGATGGATGGATGGATGGATGGATGGACGGATGGATGGAGGGACGAATGGATGGATGGATGGATGGATGGATGGACGGATGGATGGAGGGACGAATGGATGGATGGATGGATGGATGGATGGATGGATGGATGGACGGATGGATGGATGGATGGTTAGATGGATGGATGGACGAATGGATGGACGGATGGAAGGATGGATGGATGGATGGATGGATGACAGATAGATGGATGGATGGACGGATGGATGGATGGTTAGAGGGATGGATGGACGAATGGATGGACAGATGGATAGATGGATGGATGGATGGATGGATGGATGGCTGGATGGATGGATGGACGGATGGTTAGATGGATGGATGGACGAATGGATGGATGGATGGATGGATGGATGGATGGATGGATGGATGGATGGATGGACGGATGGATGGATGGTTAGATGGATGGATGGACGAATGGATGGACGGATGGAAGGATGGACGGATGGAAGGATGGATGGATGGATGGATGACAGATAGATGGATGGATGGACGGATGGATGGATGGTTAGAGGGATGGATGGACGAATGGATGGACAGATGGATGGACGAATGGATGGATGGATGGACGGATGGTTAGATGGATGGATGGACGAATGGATGGACGGACGAATGGATGGACGGATGGAAGGATGGATGGATGGATGGATGACAGATGGATGGACGGATGGATGGACGGATGGATGGATGGATGGATGGATGGACGGATGGAAGGATGGATGGATGACAGATGAATGGATGGATGGATGGACGGATGGATGGATGACAGATGGATGGATGGATGGATGGATGGATGGATGGATGGATGGATGGATGGATGGATGGATGGACGGACGGATGGATGGATGGACGGACGGATGGATGGACGGATGGATGGATGGATGGATGGATGGATGGATGGATGGATGGATGGACACCTGGCGGGACAATGTAAAGGAGTGTTTGAAACAACATTTAGACGAAGTCTTAGGGAGATGAATTTGACAGAAAATGTAAACATAGCAGATAAAACAGGTACTTTTGTGATTCCTGTTGGTTCCTCTGTGCCACTACAACCCTCTGTGGAGGTGAAGGCTTGATGAAAGTGAAATAAAATATGTCAATTTGAGGCAGTTTTCTACTGTGCAACCCAGAGGCAGGCAGGAGGTGGTGCAAACTTTGGCCATTTTAGCCTTTCTGTTTGCAAATCTGACGGTTTCAACAACAAGTGCACCAAAACAACAACAACAACAAACAGTTACTGGACCTTACTAGGTTCTTCTAGCATGTAGGAAACAACAATAAAGGTTTGCTGTGTCGGCCTATATGCTGAATTTATGTGGCGTTTGTGAGGACTGCTACTCAATGAGGACATCAGTGAGGCGCTTGTTGTCCTCTCTCACTTTAACCAATCAGTGTAGAGATTCTTAGAGTAGAGTTTTAGTAGTACGTACACCAGACTAAGAACTTCTTTCTCCCCAAAAGAAGTCCTGAAAGAGGTTTGACATGGATGTTCTTGTGATCAAACACAGTCAAAGATTCCAGTGAACTTCCTGCAAGTTGCAGTGAAAAAACAGAATCATTTAATTTCAATGCCCACTACTCAATTTTTGATTATTT